CAGGCATCTCTCTGCGGCGGCCACCGCAGCTGCTTGTGGGCAGGGAAACCCGCAGTCTGCAGAAACTGCGACCACACAATGACCGCCAAAGAAAGGAGGTCCTGGGGTTCTATACCAGAGCAATGCCGGGAGTGCGCTCCTCCAACCGTGCGGGGAGGGCTGTGCCGGTGGCCCAGGACTCCTGACTCCGGCACTGATGGCCATGGCGAGCACATTCGGGAACTCTGTCCTGCTGGAGAGATCCCTTCTCACCAATGACCAAGGATCCTCCTTGACCGTGTCAGTGTGGTCTGAGTGACCATGTCACTTCCCTGCTATTTCAGACAATGCAGACAACTAGGGCTCCCCGCCCGGTGTCCGTGCACGGGTGTGAGCAGACAGACGACGGGCAGGGGGAATGCTTACCACAGTGCTCTCAGTGTCTCCGTGGGAAACGCTACCAGTAACATCGATCGAGACACCCACAATTTAAGTGGGTGGACAAGAAGCAAATAGGGTTCTGAGAAAAAGCTGAGACTAAAAAGCAGAGTTTAGAAATGCTGCCAACTAATCTTTTTCTTTTGGCATTTTGGGTTGGCAATGCTAATCACCATCCCATGTATCGCACCAGCTTTGTTTTCATGGCATGGTCTGTCCTCTGTCCACCAACGCGGCCTGAGACTAAAAGAAAAATAAGCACGGACTGCCCTGCCTCTTCGTGAAGCCACCCTAGTGTCCTCCGTCCTCCCCACCAGTGTCTTCCACACGCGTGTGACTCTTTCTTTAAACAAAATCCCAAACCTCTTCCATGTGATGATGATTAGCTGAAAGCGTTAAGGATGAAGCTTAATTCTGTACCACGCTATTTTCCAATATGTTCCTTACTTTGACAGCAAAAAGACAATGTTTTAGTAGGGAAGACAGAGGACTCCCTAACCCACCGACTCTCACCTGCCCCTGGGGCAGGACAAGGACTTCATTCCGGGCAGGCAGTTGTAAACAGAGAGCACTGTCTCCCGTCCCCAAATTGCGGTTTGTTGAGTACAGGTCAGTGTTGGGTCAAGCCCATTTAGTTAAGATAGGTGAAGGCAGGGATGACGAAGGGCTTCCAGAAAGGGCTCTGCCCACAAAGACAACACGCCATGCCCCAGGTGAGGTAAAATCCCCACAGACGGATCGCCCGAAGCGCCACACAGACTGCGAGGGAGGCACGGCCGGCGCGCCCACGTCTCTCCGACTAGACTAATGTCCGATTTTAAACGCTGCTTCGGTGTGCGTTTGTAGTTTTCAACAAACACAAAGAGCACTTGGCAGGTTATTTTTAGGGGAGGTAGAATAAAAATACAGCCTGTCTCTCCACATCCATGCCTCACCAAATCTGTGTTTCACACATTTTACAACTTCCTAATAAACTTTCTGCTGGCATTCAAAAATACTTAATACTACACGGAACATTAAAAAAAATGTACCTATGCAAAGGCGAGCATGTGCAAGCCCCTCGTATTTGAATGGAAATCGGACCACTGTGAAAAGAGCAGTTAGGGCCTGTAATGCTCGTGGCTCGCCGAAGCCATGGCCCGAAGAGGGTAAGTCATTGCAAGACCACAGAGGACACGGAGATAAACCAGGCAAAAAACCCAAAACTGCTTTAATGTTCTCACTATTAAAGCGAAACAGGATGCAGATAATGACCGGTGTTCTTTCTCTTTAGAATGCTTTTCCACCCACTGCTGGGGAACAACACGACAAAGGCAGCCAGCACGGACAAAGTGATTAGCATTTAAGGCCGAGACTTTTGGCATACCAAGCAAGTAAATGCCTCAGGTATGGTCACTTCGATAAGAAGGCTAAGATTCAAATGTAGCTGCCTGTCCCAAAAGCCTACCTATGACCACACACATCTTCCCTTTAGGAGAAGCTGCTAGCCAGCTCAGCTGGGTAGCAGAGTGTTAGAAGAGTCAAGATGATGATTTTCTTTTCTTTCTTTCATTTTTTTTTTTTTTTAAGATTTTACTCATTTATTTGACACACAGAGAGAGAGAGATCACAAGTAGGCAGAGAGGCAGGCAGAGAGGGGGAGCAGGCTCCCTGCTGAGCAGCGAGCCCGATGTGGGGCTCGATCCCAGGACCCTGAGATCATGAGCTGAGCCGAGGGCAGAGGCTTAACCCACTGAGCCACCCAGGAGCCCCGATGATATTCTTTTTAAGGTAAACTTAATTGTGGACTAGAAAAGTTGCAAAGATGGTACGCACAGTTCTAATGTCCCCCCTCACCCAGTTTCACCCACGGTGACACCCGTCGCGGCCCGGTACGTTCAGCCACAGCTAAGAAACCAACACTGGTTACTTATTAGGGACCGCGCTTACTTTCTCATTAGTGTCGCTCTCCCTTTCAGGACCCAGCCCAGGACAGCGTGCTGTGTTTAACTGTGACCACACTGTGGAATTGTACTGCTTAAGCAGCCTCCCTAAGCGTGCAGCGTTGGGCCTCAGACTCTTCTCTGAGCCGCAGGCATCCGCCCCTGGCCCAGCCTTTCGTGCAGAAGGTCCGGGAACAACATGAAGTGATGTAGTAAACACCATTAGAGAGCTGGTCCATTATGCTGCTTTGTTACAAAAGTCCTACGCTCACTGCTCAATGGGGACCGGGTTTCCTTCCGGGGTGATGAAAAGGTTTAGAACTAGATGAGGTAATGTTCCACAGCACTATGAAAGTCATGGAATTAGGTTAATTTTGTGTTATGTGAATTTCCCCTCAATTAATAAAAAAAGTTCTATGCTTTCTCTCTAAGTTATCCAGCGTCCCCTGGACATAACTAATACTCAAGTGGAAAGGATCTGGGCTCAGCTTTCAAAATTATGTCCCATCTCCGCACCAACTCCTTCAGCGGACTTGAGAATAAAATCTGAATTCTGTCCCCAGACCCAGAGGCCCACCCCTGGCTCTGCCTCCGTCCCCCGCAGCGTTCCCTCCCGGCCCACTGTGCGCTGCCATTGCACGGGCTTCCAACAGCTCTTAGAACGCGCTCCTCAACATGGGCCTGGTGAGCTGCGGCTGCCACTGCCTGGGGATCTCCTCTCGCGGCCTTTCAAGTGACCGGTGCCCTCTCAGGAGCGGCCCATCTCAGTTTAGGTCTTGCCCCGTAGAGGCCTCCTGTGGCTGCCCCAATGTGAGTGGCCCCTCCTGCTGTTCTTGACTGCAGTCCCCTGGGGAACGCCCTGGAGTTACCCTCCTTCCTTCTCGTGCCTCCCTGTCTGGTTTTCCCTCGAATTCTAGCACCCAGCAGAGCGCCGGGCTCATGGCAAAGGGGCCCAGTAAGTCACGACGGGGAGCTGGATGGGGCCCAGAATGAAATCACAAGCACCTCCACCATGCGTGCCACTGGACAGAAGCGGAGAAAGGATGGAGGAGAGCAGACAGAGGCAGCCGGTGCCCTGCAGGGGAGCTGGCCTGGGTGCTATGGGGGGGGGGGTAGCAGCCCTTGTAAGCCCCAGGTGCCGAGCTGCTCCAGGGAAGGGCCCCTTCTACCATCAGAAGCCAGGAAAGGGTTTTCTCTAGTCCCATTTCTTCGACATCTCCCAAACAGCATTTCACGGGGAATCCTGCCATCAGAAAAAGAGGTGACCAGACTGTTAAGCGGGGGTGGGAGGGGGTGAGGATGGGGCCAGCCCGCCCCCCTCAGCCTATACTAGGCACCCGCGTAGACCACAGGGCTCTGACAAACTGAGCTTAAAAACTGGCTGAGCTTGGAACAACTCAAAAGCCTCTGCTTTTTGTTTTTGTTTAAGCTATGATTTCCATACAGCAAAAGTCACCCTTTGTAGGTGTGAGGTAACAGAAAAGAAATACATACACTGTTTGATCTCTGCCTCTGGTACCTGGCATAGAGCTCCTGAAATCCTTATAATTTCCTAAGTGATAAGAGCATTGGGGCATATCCTGTTCTAATGAGGTGACTCTGGGTGGGCCCCTGGGTGGGGTCTGGTCACCAGAAAGGCCAAGCCATGATTTGGGTAATGAGAGACTTAGAATTTTCTGTCTCGCTCCGCCTCCTCCAGAGAAAGGGAATGGGGCTGGAAACCGAGTTCATGATCGATTATGTCTACATGAGGGAGCCTCTGTAAAATGCCAGCAGTAGGGGGTTTAGAGCTGCCAGACTACACAATGCAACGCCAGAAGACTGATGCACCCCAACTCTATGGGGACCAAGACTCCTGGGCTCGAGGCCTTCCCAGAGCTTCCTCTGTGTGTCCCTCCACCTGGCTGTTCATCTGTACCCTTTATCGTGTGCTTTCATAAGCAGGAAACCTCAGCGAGCATCTCCCCAGGGTTCTGTGAGCTGCTCTGGCAAACTGACAGAGCCTGAGGAGTGGGCACGGGAACCTCCGATCTACCACCGGTGGGGCGGAAGCACAGGTTACCGAACTTGTGACTGGGGTCTGCAGCTCTGGGGCGATCGTGTCAGGCCAAGCTGAACTAGAGGACACCCAGCTGGTGTCCTGTTTCCGTGGGGACAATCCGTGGGGGACAAACCTCCACATGTTCGGTGACCAGGAGAGGCAGAAGTGAAGTGTTTCATGTGCACAGTAATGGGGATTCACTGGAGACAAACACAAGAGGGAAGAACTGGGGTCTTCCCTATACAGGAAGGAAAGCACAGATTTCCCTCTACAGTTGGTACATTATTAGCTCCATGGCTTTGGGAACATAATACAATGTATAATCACCACCATGATTAAGACACAGAATATTCCAATGACTCCGACACATTTCCTCTTGCCCCTTTGGCGACAATCTCCTGCCCTGACTCCCAGCCCCTGGACACCAGCAATCTGATTTCTGTCCCTAAGATTTTTATCTTTCCCAGAATATCTTATCAGTGGAATCATACCGTGAGCAGCCTTTGTGTCTGGCTTTTTCCACTTTTGAAAAAGCCTCTAACTTAAGACCAGTATTTATACCTTTAAGCATTCATATTTCCCTTCCTGCTCCTGAATAAGAAGGAAAAAGTAGAGCTTACCTTCTGGAATACTTGATAGTTGGATTTGGACCATATATCCAGCTGCGGGGAAAGACATAAGACATCATCAGCATCGATTTTAGAACTGTCAGCTTCGAGAGAGGACACTGTAACCACTCTACACCCGTCAGCTTGAACTAATAAACACAACAGGATCGTGGCATTGTGTGTGCATCTTAAATGTCCTGTTTGAATTTCTTCTCTCTCAACCTGTCAGTGACTTAAGGAAGCCCACAGAGGGACATAGGGAAGTGAGCAAGAGGTGCCTGTTGCATCTAAGGCTGCATGCGGAGCCCCAGGCTCCCTTCTCTAACCTGGACTCCTACCATACTTTTCTTGCATGGCCATGTCGACCGTGCCTCAGGACCCTTGCACAGATTTCTTTTCCCCCACAAACACTCACATGGCTCCTCCTAATTTTCTTTAGTTCAAATGTCAACTTACTTGAGAGTCGTTTTCCAGTTACCCTGTCTAAAATACTATTTCCATATGTATTGTCTTCTCTTTATTGTTTCAAAAATTTGAGATTTTCATTGCACTTAAAACCACCTGGAAGTTTCTTTCTTTCTTTCTTTCTTTTAATATTTTATTTATTTATTTGACGGAGAGAGAGAGAGAGGTCACAAGTAGGCAGAGGGGCAGGCAGAGAAAGAGGGGGAAGCAGGCTTCCTGCTGAGCAGAGAGCCCGATGCGGGGCTTGATCCCAGGACCCTGAGATCACGACCTGAGCTGAAGGCAGAGGCTTTAACCCACTGAGCCACCTAGGCACCCCTGGAAGTTTATTTCTTTATTTCTTTTTTTTTTTTTTTAAAGATTGATTTATTTATTTGACAGACAGAGATCACAAATAGGCAGAGAGGCAGGCAGAGAGAGAGGAGGAAGCAGGCTGCCTGCCAAGCAGAGAGCCCGATGCGGGGCTCGATCCCAGGACCCTGAGATTATGACCTGAACCGAAGGCAGACGCTTAACCCACTGAGCCACCCAGGCGCCCCTGGAAGTTTATTTCTTTCGCTTATGTTGTCCTGGTGTGAGATCCAGCATGTCACAGGGATCAGCAGGTCCGTGCTGAGTGGAGGAAAACCGGCTCCCAGCTGCTGAGCACCTGCTCCACCCCAGTCACCACACTGGGCCCTTTACCTGCACTTGCTCATTTAATTCCCAGAACAAGCCAGTGCGGCTGGTCCCACTAGCAACCTTCCTTTCCAGAGGACGAGCCATTCAATCGTCCCTGGCAATCTGGAGGGGCTTCTTACGGACGGTCTCCCCTGAGGGCGCTCAAACCTGGCGGGCATCAGCAGCTGCTGGGGGAATTTTTTTGTTTTTTTGATATACAGATTCCTTGGTTCCTCCCCTGCAGTGTGGGAATTAGTAGGCTTACAGTGGGCCTGAGAGCCTGTTCATCTGTCTGTCTGTCTGCTCCCCAAGCGGTGGTGTAACCTGACGGCTGGTCAGGCCAGGAGCCCTTGATCGAGGGCTCCCTCCTTCACAGGTGAGGAAACTGGAGGTCATGGGAGTCAACCCGGTCCGTCCCCCTCAGGCTACACTGGGTCTTGCACAGAGCATGTCAGCGGCTTACTTTAACCAAAAGGATTTTTGTTTTATAGTTTCGTGTGATAAATCAAGTCAATACCTGATTTATTTATTTATTATTGAGTTTGAAACAAACTCATTGTCTCATGAGTTTATACTAATAAATTAAGTAGAACAAAAGCAGAATTGCCCCAGTACAGTGCTGGGAGAGAGCTCAAGGACAGTGCAGATTAGAAGAGTCAGTATGTCCCACGGGTGCTAGAAAGTCAACTGTAACATGTGAGTTCCAGAGCTGAACAAAATGGGCCTCTTGGAACCTGCCTTTGGGGTAGGCCAGGGGTCACGGTGGAAACCCGAGACATGGCTGTATGGCCCGTAGGTTGAGTCACTGACTGTGGAGCGCCTGGGAACCCGAGCAGCAATCTCACGGGAAGATTCCTCTAAGACAGGAAGAAAAGTGTTGCACTTGACACAGGGTAGTTCACAGTTCTGTTTTTGTTCTGAGGAAAACACCAAAATCTGGTTTCCTGAAGATGGTCCTCGGAACTGAGAGGTGGTCTGCACACAGGAGCCCACTCAGTCCTCCCTGGCTTCCTCCTGTTCAGAATGAGTTGCACGTACGCTGCGCCGTGTCTGAGAACTTTCAGGCCACAGAAGAGGTTGAGAGGATTCCGAGAGGGTTTCCCTGGGTCCCTGTGGGGCTGCTGCTGGAGAGGGCCAGTGTTAGCTGGTCCACGCCCAGGAAAAGGACCAGAAGAACTCGGCCCGGACAGTCACTCAAACGGGCCGCCTCTCCCTAACTCCCTGGATTTCCAGCGAAGCCCCCAGCTGACCCCTCTCCTTCAACCCTGGCTCAGCTGCTCTTCAGAAAGGTGGTATCAATTTTCAGTCACTGCACCACCCCCAAGCCAGTTGATTAAAAAAAAAATCTTTAGGCATTAGAATTTTAATTTGGTAGGCTAGCAATTTGTAGAGGGAAAAGTGACATGTTACTTCAGATAACTTTGAAGGAAACCTCAAAAAAAGACAAATGGAATGAACCCCACACTGTCAGTTCTGCTGAAGAAAACTGCCGGCCAGCATCCTGGGGAGGAGAAGGCCGCTTCCTACGGGCTCTCCGTGCCGCAGCGGAGCCCAGGGTTACAAAACGCAGCACTTAAAGATTATTCAGAGAGCGCAGAATGAATAAGAATGATTTTTCGTATCTCTCAGTTCTGCCGAATCACCGCCAAGATGACAGGGAGATGCCAAAGATTCTAGATTTTAGGGAGAGCGTAACATCAGTGTCTCAACTCGGAACGAACGCAGCTCCCCTTCCATTCGGAGCCCACAGCTGTTTCTCCGGAGCTTCTCTGCTGTTTATCCTCCTGCCTGCTCCCACCCCGCGTAGGCAGACCAACACATAAACATGGGGCTATGGAAAACGAGAAAAGGAAGAAGTGGCACATAAACCAAAAAGTTATAGCTCTTATTTAAAAGAGGAAATTATTAAAACAAAAAAGAAAACCCCCCGCCCCAACTCTTCAGTATCTGCAGAATGTTTTAATAGAGAAATCATCTAGGGAGAAATGCGCCCAAGTTTAATTAAGAGATGCACTCTCCAGCCTAATTGCAGCTTCTCAAACACACCACGCTCCTTCAAAGGCTGCTCTTTCTGAAAGGCGGCTTAAATATATAATTCAGGGCCCTAGGGAAGAGCCGCAGCCATCTGGGATGGAAGGATGTCAGACAATACGCCCCACGTACCAGGTGCGCATGGTAAGAAAGGGAGCCGGGAACAATGGGTCCCCCTATTGCTTCGACGGCACAGCAGGCAGTTTGGATTTCATTTTCTGCTAGATTTATGCCAAAGAAAGCCATCTAAGTGAGCGTTCTGGAGTCAGTGCCCTGCCTCTCCTCAGGGCCAAGAAGATTTCAGAAATTCATTTCAGGGAGCCCGGACCGACCCAAGTGAATATTTATCAGCATTAGCTTATGGACCGCAAAGGCGGGCATGGCTACCAATTTTTTTGCTGGCTGTGATATTCAAAAAGGAACATTCTGGAAGCTGTAAACTTTCAGCTGGGCGAACGGGAAATTATTCTGAACTATAATGTCAGGGAAAGAAAGTAAAGCACCTCTCAGTATTCTGGGCAAGAATTAGAAAGATCTTAAAATGGAAAAGCCAGCCTTATGGTAATTGGTGGCTGAATCTGCAGTCTTAGGAGTAGCCTCTGGGACCCTGGGGACTGGAATGAGTATTTTAGGGGTAGGAATGTGCTCTATTCTTGGGTAAAATGGAAACAAACCCCACAGATGACCAACCACTCCAGTACAGACACATCTGCTCTCAGGTTAAACATCAAGACGTCAAAAGCCCTCTCGACTAATAAGAATGGTGAGGATCAAACTGACTTATCGAAAAGAAAAATCAGAATGGCCCAGGATCAGATGGCACGCCAGCTATGACAATGACCCCTGCCATCAGCATGGCTGCACACCCAGTGAGGGCAGACATCATTCACTGAGGATCATGCATGCGTCCTGTACTACACCTGCGTTTCCTTCCTTCCTCCCTCACTCCCTCCCTCTCTTTCTAAGATTTTATTTATTTGGGGGAGGGCAGAGGGAGAGAGACAAGCAGACTCCCCTCTGAGCGCGGAGCCCAAGCATACGGGGCTGCGTTGCTTCCGAAATCCTCCCAGAGATCTGGACGGGGATGATGAAACTACCCCACCTCCCACAAGAGGACACCAAGGCTCAGAGAAGTTAAGTAACCTGTCCAACATCACACAGTACGGGGAAGAAAATTCAAAAACCAGCTCTGTCTCCAGAGGCCCAGCTCTCAACCTGGGAGGAAGACCGCCTCGGAGCTAGAATTCAGGACGGCTGACTCGAGCCCCACTCCCAAGTGGTGGCAGCTGCTGCGGGGGTGGCACTCCTGCAGAAGTTCCACATGACAAATGTGCTTCGAGGCCCGCTCATGTGACATCATCACCACTGAAACTGGCTTAGCAGCCAGTGGAAATTCCGGCAGCTTCTCAGAAAGTTACCAATTCTTCATTCCAAAAAATAGTACAAGGTACCATAAATGATCTAAAATTGACAATTCCAAATAAAACTCTTAAGCCTCACCAGGGCCTTCAACTTCTGAAGCTTTTATTTATGAACACTGTGAGGTCAACAGGTGGTGCGTCAGTGGGGCAGAGGGCCATAAACCAGCAATGGTCAGGCGTCTCTCCACGATTACGCAAAAGTTTTCAAAACCATAAACGTCTACCTGGTCGCCTTCTTACTGTGCCCAGTCCTCCCTGGCAAATCAGGACGAGAGCAAGTCTCACCCCAGAGCTGGTGCTATGGGTCTGCTGGTCTTCAACTTTCCACCTGCGATCAGGGCACACATTTGTTACTAGCAAGTGCTGAAGGCACAAGTCTGGGCACCGTCCGCATGCGAATTAAACAGGCGGCCCCTTCCCCAGCTTTCCCCCCTTCCCCCATAAGTAACAAGAGGCCGTTTTTCTGAAGGTCGTCTGAACAATTTCAAAGGCTGTAACAAATCAAAATGTTCCCTGCGTCTAATATCAAACGGGGCCGATGCCAACACTTATTAGAGAAATCAGATTCAGGCTTCCCCAACCCCTCGACCCACACACACACGCACATCCAACTTTGAAGTGGGAAGAATGCGGGATCAGAAATTACCCGGGAGACAGCTCTGGCTGTCTTTGAAGGTTCCCTTTGATACCACTATTTCTTTCCTCTCTTTCGCTAGGAGGCTAAAAGCTGCCTTTTTTATTGATATGGGGTAATTAATGAAGCTACAGCATTAACATAACCTAAATCCCCTAATAAGATAAATTCAACCGAGACACACATTTTTTCACTTAAGTCTGGCGTGTACAAAGTCAGGACAACGGCCAGGTATTTCAACTTAAATCTGCCTTTCCACAAGCTGAGTCATGGCTCTCTGTGCCTCCCTGGTTACAGTGAATAGCAGGTTGTTAAGTTTTAAAAAAACATTTTTATATTTTATTAGAGGAATTACTCTACTAGAGCTTGGTCTCAAATATATGCATCCCAGGTAAAGAGGCAGACGATGAGGGCGGCAGCAGGGGTTACTGCAAAGTGCAAAGCGACAGCCTTGCTGGCATTCTGATGGGGAAAAATCCTGCCAGTTCTGGAAAGCGGGGGCTCGGGGGTGGAGGGGGCACCGGGCCACTATTGTAGCAACGGGGATAATTAAACCTTTCAGGAGGTGCTGGTTGCTTTGGGTTTGGGGGACACAGAATCCAGCAGTCATAGAAGTTCAGAACCCAGCATGTCCGGCTTTCCAAGCCACGCCCACGGCATCCGGCTTGCATGGCGGAGCGCTCAGACTGCGGAGAAACCCCCCCCCCAAGCGCTCAGGCACCAACTCAGCAAAGGCAGACAGAACTGCAAGCATCAATGTGGTCTCGAGGACCACACCCCACGCTCTAGGGGCTGCTTCCAAAGGTTACACTTTGTTTGGGATGGGCTAGACATTTCAGCATGTTCATTACACTAAGGCTTACATGTGTATAACTGAGCGTAAGTTCACACACACCAGCATCAGTACTCAAAACAGAACACCAATAACATCGGCACGGTTTTGTAAAGTGCTCTGAAAAAAAGAAGGGGCTAATCAAAGTGGCTAGGATTTGATTCTGGGCAGAGGGGCCGTTCTGACAGCTCCTGTGCCAAATGCGGTTAGTGTGCCTTTCCAACAACAAGCGCCCTGGCCCTCCCAATCTTGCTATTCCCCGTTTTAGGGTCCCTGCTGACCACTTGGGCCAATGTGTGCAGCTGTGAAATGCAGCAAGAGGCCTCCTGTATCACATTTGGGATATGAGTCAGAGCCAAATTCAGGTTCCCAGACACATACACATTTTCTTTCTGAGGAACACAGAACCCACGCTAATCTCTCATTAGGAAGACGCACACCGCGTGCGCACGCGCGTCTCCTTCGTTTTCCGCACTATGACTCCACTCCCGGTCCTCGTCTCTGATGGTCAGTTCCCCACCCTTCCGCTCCGGCTAAAGCACTGGCACATCCCAAGCAGGCTTCTCCACTGTCCCCTCCCACACAGCCCCGGGCTTCTCCAGCACTCCAGGCACTGCACCGTCTCCCTGGGACAGCATCACGGGACAGGGTCTTGGCCCTTGAGGTGCTCCCAGCAGATGGAGCTCTGGGGCCTGGCGGTGTGACCGCAGGCAAGTCCCTGTACATTCGAGGTCTCGGCTGCCCTCTCTGGAGAACGAGACTAATTTAAGCAGAACCTAGGACGCAATGACCACTGTGGGCAAAGTTTGCTATGGAGTACTTGGTGTTTCTATTAATTGCAAGAGAAACATGTCAACAAATAACCATGATGTACTGATTCTAGTCCTAGAAAAAGACTGTTCAAAATTCCATGATGTATTTACGAGGAGGCTCGAGAGTCTGGGTTCATGTAAGAGACCCTGGGAAATGGGGACAGGATGAGAGAGAGGACAGCAGTAAGTCAGGGTGAAGGGAAGAGTGAGTGTGTCAGGTGGGCAAGAGCACAAAGCATCCCAGGCTGAGGGCACTGAGGGCACTGAGAGTGAGTGAGAGAGTTGTGGGAGCCACAAACAGCACAAAAGGCTGGACAGTGAGACAAAACGTGCGCAGAGAATGATGGCAGCTGAGGTCAGTAAGGAAGGCAGGGGTCAGATCACCTGGCATTTCTATGTGTTGCTGAAGAGTCTGGATTTTATTCTAGAAGCTAGGGTTTTCAGAAGCATGTTCTGTAAAACGCCAGTGTCACAATATACTGAGAAGAAAGGAAGAAACAATGAATTTGGGGTTCAAATAAATTAGGAAAATACCCCATACTATATGCGCCTCTTAGGAGATTCATAGGACACTAAGCAAACTGAAGTTTCCAAGAATTTCTTTAGTAAAGAAACCTACTGAACATTCTCGAACCCCATGTTTCTCAGACATTTTGACCATGGACTGCTTTGTGTCTAAGACCTATTAATATTCTACTTTCCTGCCTGCTTTGGGCAATAGGGGATGGTGCAAGCAAGAAATCATACGCTTGGATGTGTATTTTGGGAAGACTGCTCTGGAAGCCCAGTAAAGGACAGACCGTGGGAGGGAAGGAAGACTGGAGACAAGGCATGAGGCGGCCAGTGCACTTGCTCCATTGAGAAATAAGAACTAGAAGAAGGGGAGACGGACAGGAGGAGCCCAATTTGGGATAGATTTAAGCAGGGGAAAACCAGAACCTGCTGATGGACTAGATTTGGGGGAGGGGAAGGATGGCTTGAGTGATGAGGTGGTGGTACAGTTACCCCAGATGAGAACAGCGGGGGGAACCCGAGTTTCGGGAAGAAAGAGGTGAGCAGAGTTTTGGGCGGGCTGAACGTGAGGTGCGCCTGGGGAGGAGAGGTCCCGCCTAGACACAGGTCGGGAGTGGTCCCCGCAGGCTGACACAGGAAACCACAGTATGGTGCGGGGGTGGGGGGATGGTCAGAAGCACCTAAGGGGAAGTTACCCGAGAGAAATCCTAGAAGCATACATGGGTGACAATTTTCTAAATCCCTTGTTTTAAGCGCACAATAAAAATGGTATTCGTGATTTACTGAGTGGTGACTAGGTGGCAGCGGGGTGATTGGTGGCAGAGTGCTGAGTGCTTTGCTTTACAGGGCTTAGCGAGGACACTTCCGGTGTAGAGAAACACAGTGTGAAAGAGATCGGCCAAGTAGGTAAACCCTCACTCCTTGGACTCTAACTTCAGAGAACGCTTCCTCCCTCTCCCGAGTTCGCACCTCTCCTCGTGGCTTCCTGTGTTTCGAGCCCTCCCTCCCTGGTGTGCTTCCAAGTCCCTGGAGGGCAAGGACCCTGACTCATACTGGGTGTGACTAAGGAGTCGTGAACCTCGAACAAAGGCGACAAGAACCACATCTCTAATCGGCTGGGACCAGGGTCCCGGGGGCTCCTGCCCGGGGTGGCTTCTGCGGCTGCTCCCTAGTTGGGAACAGCTCGCGAGCGCTGCCGCCGGGGTTCACGCATCACACGTGCAGACCGCACCTGCCCCGGGACGCGTCTATTCCGCACACGTGTGCTGAAGACACTCCGGTGCTTTCCCGAAAGGAAAAGGGCACTGAACGCTTTGTGCTCAATGGGGGGAGAGCTACGAGAACTTGGCCGGGTCCTTGAAGTAAGAGTAGCTTCCCTTGTTGACAACACTTGTGCGGGCTGTGGAGACGCAGGGTCACTTGCTCTAAACACAAACCTCATCGCTTTGCGGGTCCCAGCTCTCAGCGCAGGCACCGTTACGGGCTAAGCTACACTGGTGACCTTTTTTTGAAGAGCGTTCTACCCTCGTTATAACGTGGCACTGGGTGGTGAGTGCTAGTACCACCGCAAACTTTAAGAATCGGAATGGGCGGGGCGCCTGGGTGGCTCAGTGGGTTAAAGCCTCTGCCTTCGGCTCGGGTCATGATCCCAGAGTCCTGGGATCGAGTCCCGCATCGGGCTCCCTGCTTGGCGGGGAGCCTGCTTCTCTCTCTCTCTCTCTGCATGCGTCTCTGCCTACTTGTGATCTCTGTTTGTCAAATAAATAAATAAAATCTTTAAAAAGAATCGGAACAGGCTCCATGAAGAGAAGGGAAAGCGCAGGAGAGAGGGTCAGACGGAGGCTCAGCGCCGGGAGCGGCCCGGGGAGCACCCGGCTGGGGGTCACAGGCGGAGCCCTCGCCAGGCTCCAGGCTCGCCAGACGCCAACACAAACGAAGGCTGTCAGCTCCCATCAGCACCCCCGAGGCCCCCCGGAGAGCCATACGGCCAGTGCGTAGTCAAGAGAAATCAGGGGTTCACATGGTGAACTCTTCACGAGACAAACCACCAAACAGCTGCAGTGTTCAGTGTGAACCTCGGAGGACAAGCCGCCTCCTCAGGGCTCCTTGTTAGTTCCACGGGAAAAGATCCTGAGCAAGTTGTAAGTCAAAGTAGCTCGAATTTTCCTCATCGTTCTAGGAAAAGCAAAATGCCGAAAATGCCAAACCCTGGGCTATTGATGTGCTGCGCTGCTGGGGTGGGGGTGGGGAGGGAGAAAAAAAGAAAGAAATCCATTTCCTCAGAAGACACATTTAATGAGGCAACTGGGGTCTAAGGTGATACATTAGAAATTCAACTAAGGGCATCAGGCTTAAAGGGAAAAGCAGAAGCTTGATGAAAAATGCAAGGGGAGAGAGAGAGAAATGTTTTTCTGTAAAACGTTCATCTTCATACTGAGAAACCATGCTTGTGGACCATTTCAGCTATGACTGCTGGTGTTTAATGTCATTCATCTGGGACTCGACTACGTTTGTTCTGGGACACAGAAAAAGAAAGAAAAACGAAACAAAAGATTCCAGAATGCTTACCTTGCCGTCTTCTGTGTAGACATTCTCACTGTATCCCCTTACTATTGTTCGATCAATGAACAGACTCCGCATGACGACGATCACTTTCAACACCTTTCCCAAGGTCACCTGTCAAAACACATGCATGCAAACATGAAAGCTTACACTCAAACATGCAAATGCATGAGCTGGGCAAGACTCTGTGAAGAAGAAAGGCTCACCTCTCCCTCTCGTTGCTAATGGACGCAGGGGAGGGCCCTCAAGGGAGGGCATCCTAGAGCGTTTGGGAACGAGCTCCGAACAACACGGCCCTCCTGCAGGCTAACTACACTGAGTGTACGTGAATTTTTGGCTTATAAATCTCGGGATAAGTTCCATATGTTTAATACCTGCTGGACAAAGTAAAATTTCTTTTTTTTTCTGTCTTAAGATGATCTTTTTCAAAGGCTATCCTAGGATTCTGGCATCCTAGGATTTGGTAAGCACATTTGTTTTCCTATGATTTCATGGCCCTACGTACACCCATGGAATGCGCAGAAGAACAGAGTGGAGAGATTAAAGGCAGGCGCCAGATGCCCACGCGGCTGAACTGTCCATCTATAATAGCCCAGAGTAAGTGCAGAAGCGATTCTAGTAAGTTCTGAAGGTAAAAGGAAAGTAGCTGGATTTTCTCTCTAAAAAGGAACATGATCCTGGAAATACATTAAGTGTTTTACTCTCTCAGAACCTAAGCATGTATTATGGATAAAAAAAAACAAAACAAAACCCACACACCTAAAAAAAAAGTGTAGTTTCATATAATGCCAGGGAAAAAGTAACCTGCTGTGCTTGCTGGAATGGGCTCAGTACTAAGAATAGAAACCGCACCTTCCTTTCTCTTGGGGGCTCATGTAACTTTTCTGATGCTTTACTGTACTTCTTCTGTTCATTCCCCAGATGAGACCCTGGAGGCAGACTGGGAACAGGACCCACACAGGGCCCACAGTCTAGATCGTCTGACGGGGCTCCCATATCACAGAATGGGCTGAAAAGGGCCCCCACCCCAAGCCTACTCCTCTGACCCAATAGATATACTCCGCTGCTACTGATGCCCCTTCAGGCACCTGCTCTTCACTTCCCTGTTCTCTGCTGTCCGACTGTCCCCAGCAACAACCCTCCTCTTTCCTTGATGAGTCCTGGGTATCAGCAAACGTTCCGAGTAACTGGTTCCTTTAATAACTTCTAAGTGCTGAGAGGATCTCTCTGTTTTTGTATGCCTAAAATGGTCCAGAATTATAAACAGCATTAAGAAAAAGAGATGATACCCTTATTTACATTCAGGAGAATGTTAATAATAACATCTCATTTCTGGATAGTACTTCCAAATACTGCCACACCGTGTAACATGTAATGCGGCGTCTCTTGAAGAACTGGAAATCACTAGATAAGGATGTCAGTAAACCCCCAAGGTAGGAACCCCAACTCTCTCTAGTTCACATGGAGGTTACACAGAGGAAGGGAGAGAGGGAGGAAAAGAATCAAGTTCACAGGTTTGTGATTCTAAGCACCGAAAGCAAGAGCCTCTCACTGGGCTGCAGTGGAGGTACAACACACCGTCTCCAACAAGGCCGCCATTTTCAACTGCCTATTTTAACGCTCTTTGCCAATTAGCAGAGATAACTAAGCTATTATTTCTTTAAAAAACCAAAGTCTTGGGGCGCCTGGGTGGCTCAGTGGGTAAAGCCTCTGCCTTCGGTTCAGGTCATGATCTCATGGTCCTGGGATCGAGCCCTGCATCGGGCTCTCTGCTCCGCAGGGAGCCTGCTTCCCCCCCTCTCTGCCTGCCTCTCTGCCTACTTGTGATCTCTGTCTCTCTGTCAAGTAAATAAATAAATAAGCAAATCTTAAAAAAAAAAAACCCACCCTGAAACTAATTTCAAATCAAATTTTTATTTAAAGATACGATGTATGCATTGTTCTTTACTACTGTGCAGTCTTCAAAAACGGCAGTCTGTGCTGTTGGTACTCCACTGACAGCATCCATTTACAATTCTTTAACCATTCTCCTATTGCTGGACATGAGTTGCTTCCAAGTTTTCCCCAATATAAATATGCCTACAATGTGCACTTTTGTTCACCAAGCTTTTGCTGTGTTTGGGATTATTTCCTGGAGACAGCTTTGTACAACTGTAATTACTAGGGCCAAGAGTACAAATATTTAAAGTCTTCTGATGCAATCTGCCAACATGAGCCGTAAGGGTTATTTATGCCAGCTACGAAGGTACAAACATACCCATTTCAGTCCTCTCTTGTCAATAACAGGTACCATTAAACCAAAAGAAAACAAAGTCAAAGCCATCCCCTCCTGGAAGGAGCAATTTAGTTAATTTCTCGAACCCATTTACTTATCTAAATAATGTTAACAAAGATTTATTTATTGTAGAGAGACACAGTGTGTGTGTGTGTGAGTGGGGGGAGCAGAGGGAGAGAATCCGCAAGCAGACTCTCCCCTGAGCATGGAGCCTGGCATCCCTGAGATCATGACTTGAGCAGAAATCAAGAGTCAGATGCGTAACTGACTGAGCCACCCAGGCGCCCCGAATCCATTTATTATGAAATACTTAAACACATATACAAAGTAAGCAAAGCAGAAGAAAGAACCTCCACAGACCCCTGCCCCCAAACTCTACCAACCACAGCTCTCGGCAAATCCCGTTTCCTCCACCCCACCTACTTTTCCCTTCCTGTGTTACGTCAGAACAAGAAACAGCCATAGTATCGTCATTTCATCTGTAAACATATCCTTCTGTGTCTCTAAAAGGACTCTCAAAACAAAAAAAATGCAAGACCACCATGCCATCCCACACCTCAATCAACAATTCTTTTTCAGTATTATCAAAACTGAAGTGGTCAGGGTTCAAATTTCCAATAGTTTCGTAAATGTCACTTTTTAAAAAGTCTGCTTGTGCCAGGATCCAAATATAGCCCACACAATGTGATTGGCCGACATGTCTCAAGAGGCTCTCCTAAACTAAAGGTTCCCCATCTCTACTCCCACCCCTTATTTTGCTTGTTGAAGAAACTGGGTCATTGTTTTCTACAGCATTTCCCGCAGTCTGGATTTCGCTGACGGCATCCCCACGGCGTACTTTACACGTTCCTCCTTACTGTGTACTTCCTGCAAACTGGCATGAGAGGGGATTCAGGCTTGATTTCTTTTGGCACGGCGAGTTCACGGGAGGTGTTAGGGTCTACCAATGGGGGCCAAGCGAACTTGGGTGTCTCAGCACGTGACGCTGGCGGGGGCTGACCCTTTAATTCACCAGGGTCTCCAGCCAGCCACATACCAATGTGATCGTTCTGTCTTTGTTTACTAGCTGGGACACTTTTATAAAGAAAAACTTCCCCCATGTACTACTTGGCTACTCAGTGATCAAGTCTATTACACAGGAAAGGCAGGATAAATGCTCCGTTCTTTCCATTTACCGGCTTTCAAAACAAGGCATTGGTCCACTAGTTTCCTTCCAATGCAGACGGCTCAGTTTTCCACCCAACATTATTATAAACTCATGGATATCAACATATCTGGCGTCTTCATACCTGATGCAATCATTAGTCTTATGTTCTTACTGATGCTCACATTGCTCTGTGGCTCCTGGGCGTCTCCTTGGTTGAGTCCCTCTGACACACTCTAGTCTCTGTGATGGCTCCCCTGCTATCTGGTACAGGCCAGTCCAGGTTGGTCCAGTACAATTCCTGCCTGAGGTCATGAGTCAGCCATCTTCTCCACAGTCCTGGCTCTTTTCAACGGAAAATGGCATTTCAGGACCACGGCCAGGGCAAGAGGGGCAAAGAATTTTGAAGGCTTAAAATTTTTGTTTTTCATTTTATGAATATGAATTAGGTCTGTATTCTCCTTTCCACCTTCTCCCTCAGTGAGTGTCCCCACGGCTTGTGCCCCTACTAGCCTGCAGCAGTTTGTGGACAACTCCATTATCTTTCAAATCGGTAAAGCTCTATGAAGTTTGTCCATTCTTTCATCTTTTTTTAAAAAAGATTTTATTTATTTATTTGACACACAGAGAGAGCAAGCCCAAGTAGGGGGAGCAGCAGGTAGAGGCAGAGGGAGAAGCAGGTTCCTCACTGAACGGGAAGCCCCATGTGGGGCTCAATCCCAGGACCCTGGGATCATGACCTAAGCTAAAGGCAGATGCTTAATCTACTGAGCCACCCAGGTGCCCCAGGTTTGTCCAATCTTATTTTTTAGAAACTGAGAAAGGACCCTGGTGCCCATCTAGGTAGAATATGCATAGGCTTATGGCTTTCTGAATTTTTAGCACGGCCACAATGCCACTATGTACACAACTTTGAAGCCTGACAGCGAGAGGCTCCAGAATCAGATGCCCTTGGGAGTCAGGTCTCAGGGAGGCTGGAAAGCCTGGCCGGCTGTCTACCAGCTCTGAATGTGGGCTTCCTCTCACTCAGCGAAGGTCACGACAGCTCCACCTCAGAGTGACTGTGAAGGTCAGCAAGACAATGCCCCGGGCCAGGGTGAGGAACAGGTCAGACGAGGGATAGGTTCCCAGCAGTAAGTGCTACTCCTCCGCCCGAGCCAGGTCTGGATTCGGCGGAAGTGAAACCATTTGAAGCCAGTTAACAGCAAAGCTGGAACCAGTTCAGCAATCTTGCCACTGATATTAATTGACCCTTCTGCTGTGGGACCTGGGGCTGAAAGAAAGCTGCAGGGAGAGGGTGACAGTGGTGCCGGGCCCTGAGGTCTGAACAAAAATGTGCCTCCTGACGAATGACTGCCGAGTGGGGTCTGCAAGCCTGAGAGTCGGGGCAGTTTAGGGGAAGACGTGGATGAAGCTGTCTTGTGTGCTGATCTAGACATACCTTGCTGACACCCAAAAGAGGCCGTTTCGTGTGTGGGTCAAGTACACTGGGCTTCAGTCCCGCAGCTGCCGCTGGGCCACGTGGCTGATGGCGAATCAAACCACCTCTCAGGCCCGTTTATTCAGCTGCGAAATGCGGAGGGACCGTGAGGGAATCATCGAGGTGATCCGCGTGAAGCGCGGCTGCGGGTGTGGCACGCGACAAAGCCAAGAGCGGCTGCTTCGGATCCTCTTGAGCCTGTTGTGGTGGAAAGG